AAACTCACCCTACCTGTCTGGCTTGGCACAGGAACTTGTGGTAGGTGGAAGGGGGTGGCGGTGGGAATATAAGGACATGCAGGGATTTTGGGTCTTCCAGCAAGGTGGTCCAGGCAAATGGCTTTGCAGGAGGCTCTAGACTAGTTGAGTTTTACCCCTAACCCAGGCAAAAACTGGCAGTTTTGGATTAATTTCGCATTGAAATTCAAAGCAAAACTCAAGTGGTGTGAATCATACCAAAAAAACAAAACAAACAAAAAAACACCCACCAAACCCAAACCACAAGGTAAGTGCCAAGTCTACACAACTCCAAACTATCTGATGTATCCATCCACAGGCATCTTGAAAAAATAAGCTAGTCCAATTTTACCTGATGTATAATTACATCAAGTACAATTCTTAATGATTTGTTTGATTGCATGCTTATCAATCACTCCTGGTTAATGCGGAGTGCCAATGCTGGAGTTAAATCAGGGATGAATTTGGTCCCATATGACTGGGATTATATTACACATGCACACACGCACTGGCTCCTCACTATATGAAGATCCATGAAGGGGAATCCATCAGGACAAACGCACACTTTCTAAGGAGCCCCTGTTCAATTCAAATGTTGGGTGAGAAGTGGATGGGGTAGAAGAGAGGCTTTATTCAACTTTTCCAGATCTAGAAAATTACCCTTCTTAATCCTCCCAATGTTATGCTAATCTTCCCATTATTAAAGAATCTTCATTCCGTTTCACATCTGATTGATTCAAAGAGGACTTTAGAACAGTAGGAACTGGTTTTGGTATATGGATTAATTAGACCAAATTTTATGTAAGTGGATGCAACAACATTAAGGTCAATGCACCTGTGCTCACTAAGAGTGTCAACATAACCCATTATATGAATAACAACGATAATTAACACTAAGTGAGAGAGGGTGTATAAATAATATATTAGTGTGTGTATTCCACAGAGACACTCCTCTTGAAAAGATTTGCAACTGCTTTTTAACTTACAATTAGCATTTTCACAAAAAAACTGTCTATAAGTGATGTAGGCCATGCTTACAGGATGGGGGTGAGGAGGGTTTTATTCTGGTAAGCAGTGACTCTGAAAAAGATTTGGGGGTCATGGTGGATAATCAGTTGAACATGAGCTCCCAGTGTGACACTGTGGCCAAAAGAGCTAAAGTAATCTTTGGATGCATAAACAGGGGAATCTCAAGTAACAGTAGTTTTTTTTTTTTTAACCACTGTATTTGGCACTGATGCAGCTGCTGCTGGAATACTGTGTCTAGTTCTGGCATCCACAATTCAAAAAGAATGTTTCTAAATTGGAAAGGGTTCAGAGAAGAGCCACGAGAACGATTAAAGGATTAGAAAATATTAGAAAGACTCAAGGAGCTCAATCTATTTATCTTAAAGAGAAGATTAAAAGGTGTCTTGATTATGGTCTATAAGTATCTACATGGGGAACAAATCTTTAATAATGGGCTTGTCAATCTAGCCAAGAAAGGTATAACTATAACACACTCCAATAGCTGGAAGTTGAAACTAGACAAATTCAGCCTGGAAATGAGGTTACATTTTTAATGGTGGGAATAGTTAACCATTGGAACAGTGTGCCAAAGATCGAGATGCATTCTCCATGACTGGCAACTTTTAAATCAAGATTGGATATTTTCCTCAAAGATCTGCTCTAGGAATTATTTTTGGGAAGTTCCATGGCCTCCGTTATACAGGAGGTCAGACTAGATGATGCATCTGAAGAAGTGAGGTTCTGACCCACGAAAGCTTATGCTCCCAGTACTTCTGTTAGTCTCAAAGGTGCCACAGGACCCTCTGTTGCTTTTTAGATGATCACAGTGTTCCTTGCTGACCTTGGAATCTAGAAATGCTATGGGGGTATGGTTAGCTCTGTAGTACTAATAATTTTTGCATTATTTAACAATAGCACGCATGCAATAAGATCATACACTTCACGTGTGCTAATAAAATTTCACGTTTTTCAAATTCTCTTCCATCTGACCTCGTATCATTTGAGGGCTGCTTAACACCACTTCCTTGTAGTTTTGTATCTTTCAGAACTGCTACAGAGCTGGAAAAGAAATTCTTCTCTGGGTTGGTAGCCTCTAGGCCAGGGAATCCAGCCCCCTGCTTAATTTCATCCAGCCCATGGCAAGTCTCCATGCCGCGGGCCAGAAGCCCTGAGCCTCGTTGCCCCTCCCCCCCACAGGGCTGGAGCCATGAGCACCGTCTCGTCCTGCTGCAGGGGGAAGTTAGGGTGCCAGGCCGGTCAGTCAGCTGACCCTAGGTGCAGGGGTGATCAAGAAAGCTCTGAGTCCGCGTATGCTTATCCCCGCCCTCAGGCACTGCCCCTGCAGCTCCCATTGGCCAGGAACCACGGCCAGGGCGGGGTGGAGGGAGCTTGTCTTAGCCCTGCTGCTGACCAGGAGCTACCTGAGGTAAGCAGTGCCCGTCCAGAGCCCGCACCCCTCACCCTCTCACGCAACCCAACCCCCTGCTCCAGTCCTGAGCACTCTCCTGCATCTCAACACCCTCCCAGAGCCTGCACCCCCCACCGAGCCCTCTGCCCAAGGTCAGAACCCCCCTGCTCCTCCCCCTAACCCTCTGCTCCAGCCCTGAGCCCGCTCCCTGAACCCATCATTTCTGGCCCCACCCCAGAGCCTAGGGGAAGCCCCAAGCCTCCGCACCCCCCACCCCCGCGGGGCTGTGTGTGGCCTGCGACTGACTTTTTCTGTGGGTCAGTGGCCCCCAATAGAAAGAAGGTTCCCCACCCCGCTCTAGGCACTGGTGCTGTATCAGCCACTTTCAACTGTCCAAACATGCATTTCCAACTACATATCCACACTACAGTTATAGCCATCTAAATAACTGCAGGATAAATCTTTAAGGCTTTAGACTTTGAAGTTAGTTCTATCTAGCTGGAATCTATTTTGCTAGCAAGCAATACTGTATGTTTAGCCCTGAAAAGAAAAGGCTTTTAGCCACATGAAAAATAGGTATTGAAAGTGAAAGTTATGACAAGACAATGTTTTAATTAGCTTCAAGAAAGTGAAAGATGTGGTGTTTTTGCACTGAATTTCTCACTAGAATAATAATTAGTTTTCAAACTTTCTCAGCCCAGAAGAACAGCTGAAAGTTGCACACAGATCTCCTTCCCTCCCCACAATGAATGCTCAAAACCACATGAATGGCAAAGATACTGAATAAATGCAGATCGACGAGGACCCCCAAAGTTTTGAATGTGCAGTAGCAGACATCAGAATATTTTTTATTTTTACTTTAGTTTTTGAGAGACTTTTTTCCTCCAAATTTCCTATACAGCTTTGTTTTAGCCCTAAGAATTTCCCCGCTATGATTTACTCCCCCAACATTGACTACTCAGAACATTTTCCTTACTGGGGGTGACTCTTTTCAGTCACTTCAGAGCAACTCTTGACTAAAGGGGACATCTATTGTGTGACATGAGGTATTTTCCTCTGACCCAAGGGGAATGAGGACTCTCCCTGCTCGGCAATCCAGATCAGAGAGTTAGGCCCCAGTTCAACAAAGCATTTAGTCATGTGCTTAAGTACTGTCCTGAATAGTGCTGCCTTCTTGAATTGTGCCTGAAAGAACAGAACTAGGAACAAACCACTTTCTCTTGTAGAGGGGTTTAATTGAAACTAGACGTGAGTAAGTCTGCAGGACTGGGATCATAGATAGCTAAATGATTTAATATTCAATTAAAATAAAATGCCATTTTCAAATTTGTAAATTATTTCCGTACTGACAAACTGGATAAAATCTTCCACATCTATAACCCTTTTATCTTGTGAGAAAAAAAGTGTACCAACAGTTCAGACTTTTTAGAAAGTAGAAAAATTGTCAAAGTTCTCATAAAACGTTAGAATTCCTTTTAATTCTCCATCTCCAGAGTATGCCCCACCCCACCCCAAAAGCACAGCTCAACCAGTGGAGAATTTAAAGTTGAACTGCAAAGCAAAAACAAAAATTGATCTAAACCCAGATTTCTGCATTGAATGTCCCCATTAATTAGGCTATGGGGACACATTTAGCACAAAATTAATCTTTTATATATTCTCTCTTTCCCCTTCCTGAAATTATTTTGATCCTTCACAATTAACTGAAGGTATCCCAAAATGAGACATCAAATACCAGAAGTCTCACTGGTATCCATGTTACAGAAATAAACACATTTGGAGTATTGTCTGTGAACCCAAAGTACCAAGAAGATTCCACTGAGAAGGAAAATGTGCTTACCTTTTTATTTTTGGTTCACTTCTAATATGTAATCGGATTGAGGAAAAGTACAACATTTGCAGTCAAATGACAGAATTGCGTAAGAAGTGTTTTAATATTACCTAACAATTATTTCGGTTTTAATTTTATTTTTAGTCTCATCCACATTTCTACTATTGGACTGTACCCATGACAATTCTTTTAGAGAATTTGAAATTCTCTGGTGCAATTAAATGTACTTAAACAGGTTTGTGATTATATACAAGTGCACACACAGACACTCACTCTAATACGGTGATAGATACAAATACATATAACAATTATATATAGGGTGTATATAGTACATATGAACATTGCTGTATTTTTATATAACATTGCATGTGCACACACACACACTTGTAGTTTGTCAGCCTACAAGAACAGTAAAGCCTAGAGTACTTTTTAAATGGTCTCATCTTATTTTGTTACATGCTTGAGTAATTAAAAAAATAATACAAATCACTTATTTTTTGGATTAGTCTGTTGGATATAGAAATATTAAGTTATTTGTTACCCAATTCTGGTTAACTTTACTCAGATGAAGTAGTCTCATTGACTGCTCATTGTACATAAAGTAACTCACATGCATAAGTGCTTGCAAGATCACAGCCTTGGTGAACAGAGTAATTTCAATCTCTTCAAATTGTTGTTCCCCCGAGTACAAATAAATACCTTATCACTAGTCTTTTAAAAACCATGATCTCATACCTTGTCTGTTTTTTTATCTTGCTTTTCCAATATGGCCATGTTTTCTTTCAGAGTTTTTACAATCTCAGCAGGATTTTTGTGTGATTTACTGAACAAAGGCATGATTTTCTTCACCTGAATTTCTTCTTCTGATATAGCTGAGGATTGCTTTAAATCAAAAAGGACAAAAAACAAAAAGTAAAAATTAGCTTTTAAGGTTTTGTTTGCAGCTATGAGTCAAATACAGTATGCTTTATGTATAAATTATACTGCAAGCTCGGACTGTAAGAGCACTCTGAGCTCCAGTTGCTCACGTCTACTGAAAATTCCAGTAGACTCCACTAGATCCTTCAACTAGTCTCGGTTGGTTTCTACAGGCCTTTTAAGTTTTGATTGGAAAACCAGTAGCTCCAAGAACCAGCAGACAAATATATCTGTTGCTTGGATCATTGCAGGATTGGGCCTCAACTTTTCAGTCATTGCTTACATTTTATTTCGTTTCTCTCTATTTAACTTTTTAGTTAAGAGGATGTCAATATCGAATAGTTTAAGTCTCCCCAAAAAGGGAGCTTGCCAAACCTTGAGAGGCCTGCACTCCTTGTGACTCACTTTCTACTCATTTAAGTCCGGGGGAGTTTAGATGAGAAAGGAATATAAAATGAGTCCTAATATAAATACAAATGCTTACATGAAATTAAAACATTTAAATAAAAACATTTTAACTTATACATTCCTCCCTATTCTGTTGGAAACCCAAATACCCATCAGTGTACTACTGCATGAGAACCAGAAAGAGAAAGCAACCAGTTTAGTTTTAATGTGTCAGCAGGACCTGAGCCTGGAAGGTGCTGCGTGTCCTAAACTCCCATTAAAGCTAATGGGAGTTGAAGACTCTAAGGGTACGTCTTCACTACCCGCCATATTGGCGGGTAGCAATCGATTTATCTGGGATTAATATATCGCGTCTCGTTAAGACGTGATATATCGATCCCCGAACGCGCTCACCGTCGACTCTGGAACTCCACTAGAGCGAGCGGCGGTAGCGCAGTCGACCCGGGGAGCCGCGGCCATCGATCCCGCGCCGTCTGGACCCCAGGTAATTCGATCCAAGATACTTCGACTTCAGCTACGCTATTCGCGTAGCTGAAGTTGCATATCTTGGATCGACACCCCCCACCCCCAGTGTAGACCAGCCCTTAGGGCCCAATACAAAGCCTAATGAAGTCAATGGAAAGACTCCCATTGACTTGTATGGACTTTGGATCACGCCCATGTCACTTTAAAGAGGGCACACAGCACTTTGCAGGATAGGTCACCAAGCTGAAGAACATGCAAATAGTAAAAACACACTGGTAAGAAGTAAATTAGATGGGGGGGTGTGTGGCAAAATTGCTCCAATTTTCATATACGCTATGGTCTCATACAAATAAGAAATGTTATAACAGAGATTGAGAGGGGAGGAACAAAAACAGATTAAAATATACATATGTAAAATACTCTGCATAACACTCACCCTTATCTCAAAATCTAATGGTCTTATAGAACACATTTTTCCTCCATGTACACATGCTATTAATTATTACATATCTTATATGATTAATAAAAATAGCTATAGTTTTTACTTATACACCCCTTATGGATATTTGAGAGAATTATTTGAAAATGTATGTGATGTTTTATAAAATAAGACAGATTCTATACTACAAAGCTTTTAAGTGAAACATCTTAAAGCACTTAGAGCGAGAGATGTTGTGTAATTTATCTGTGACATAAAGGAAAGATTATTTGAAGAGTGTCATATTTCAATTAAAAGTTCCTAGAGTAGGAAATAGCATCAAAAGTAGATGAATTTATATGTAGTTTTTCATTAATGATTTGTTGCTAGGCTGGTTCTACAGAAATATTTTCACATTCAAATTCTGGAAATTCAAGTCACTGTGTCTCTTCAATATTCAAGCTCCTTAGGGCACTGTTCAAACTACATTTTTATTTCTGCGGTTTTGGCTGTGTAAGCCTAAATACTTGGCTCAGATCTCGACTAGGAAGCCAAAAACAGTGCTCAGCACTGCTCCCATGGAACTCAGGCCACAGTTTGGCAACACCCTCTGACTAGCACAGAGCAGAGTCAGGCCTCTCAATTTGCTGATACACTACACTGAAGATGGGGGTATACTGACTAACTCATCTAGGAATGTTCAGCGATATTCACATACCGGGAAAGAAGGGGCCTCTCACTGGCTGACTTGCATCATCCCCACAATTTTGCTAAATTGAAAGGGTAATGCAATAACATGTCTGTCTGCATGCTGCTAATAAGCACTTGGGACTCCACAACCCCATGGTTAACGACTCGATATTACAGGGAAAGAACATTTTTAAAAATTAAAACACTGGAAATAGAAAAGGGTCAGGACCTGCAAGCTTATTAACCCCGAAGACAAGACATGAGGGGTGGGAGTTGGATTGTCAGCCTTTGAATTCCATTTAAAATAAAAAAAAAAACTAATGAAGGACATTTTAAAAAACAAACATCACATTCAGGTGGGGCAGGGTAACTTTGATTATTCCGATTTTTAAATAAATTAACCACTTTTTGCTAGTAGGTTTCTTCTTTTTGGGGGGAGAAAGGGGAAGAAGTAGTAATTTTTTATATGTTAGCTTCAAGGATCACAAGGCTTATTAGCTACCTTTTCCCAAAAGGAATTAACCTACATACATCTTCTGAACATAGCCTCTGTACTACATAGTCACTATTTTCACTACAATTCCAACAGGATTTTGTATCACTAGACAGGTAAGCTTTTTTCCCCATCCTAGATGGAGTCCATTGAATTCTAAGAGGCCAATATTTACAACAATGGAAGTATTTTGGTTACCTTGATTTCCAAATGCCCAATCTGAGGTACCCCAAAGTACTGGTGTGATGCTGCACCCCATAATGCTTTATATAAATATGCTTATGAGTGTAAATATGACAACTGGAATATGTTTTATGCTAGATATGCCATGTAACATCTCTCTGCAAAGGTTATGATCTACTGAATATATTCATCCTATTTGTATGTATGTATCATTTTTGTATTCGAAGTTATGAATATTGGCTATGTACTTGTTTGATTTTAAGTAGCCTCAGTGAAGCATTTGGTCAGCTTCTTGAGAAAAGACTATTCTCAATAAGTGCCCAATCAAGAAACACTTAAGCTGACAATGAACTTTGAGAGATGCCAATCCACATCTGAGCTTTCCTGGGAATGTGGCGTCGGCCTGTAAAGTTCTGAGTCATGCATGGACATGTGACTTGCCCATTTGACTCCAAAACTCCATCTTGCCGCTCAAATAACTCTTTCAGCCTTGGAGGTGGTTCCTCCAGTATAGGAATGAGACACATTGCAGGGTTGTGTGGGAAATAATATACTTCCACTTCCTGAGGTTGTGACCTGTAGATAAACAGAACCTCTCAGTCTCCACAGCTAGAAAGTCCAACATCTTTCATGCGCTCTAAAGTCACAACAATATTTCAGTGACAAGTATTCAGTTAGGGATTGGTGAAAGAACATGCTTGCTTTTGTTTTATTTTAGGGGGGAAGTGACAAAAATAGTGAAAAGCAGTTTTTAAAGCAACCTTTCTCAGATGTTTGGCTGGGCCTGTTAACATTAGAAAGAAGAGTTTCTTTATGATGGGCAGTAGGCATGGGCAGGGCAGATGTGTTTCATTCTTGGTGAGAAATTCTTCTGCTCTCTTATATTTTACCAAGTTATTTTGTCATTCCCGTGACATCCTCATGATCATACATGCACAAAAGGCAAAAACTTAATACTCAAGCTCAAGCATTCAAGAAGTCCAGAGACTAATAAGATCAGCAGTGCGCAGGTACTAGGAATAGTCGAAGGAATGGCTGAGATTGCAAAGTGATATTATGCACTCACAGTGCAGGCCTTCCCTGAGATCTTAAAGACTTTTACAAACATTAATGAAGCCTGACATCATACCAGTGAGGGCATTTAAGTACAACTATCTCCACTTTTACAGTAGGGGAACTGAGGCACAGAAAGATTAAATGACTTGTCAAAGGCCACATAAGAATCTATTGGGAAAGTCAGGAATAAAACCAAAATTTCTTGGCTTCCAATTCTGTGCTTTATTAACCACAAAACCAAATCTATTAGTTTTGTAGATTACCACAGGCCTATCAGCAAACATTTATCAACCAAGACTTGGGGTGGTGTAGAATGCCATTCAATAGGAACAAGAGCCTAAACTAAAGGTTCCTCTTCCCCTCCCCTCCGGCCCCATCCAGGATTCTGAGACCTAGACAACTAGACCTCCGGTAATTTTGGGAACATGCAAGATGGTAAAATCTGTTTTTTAATCTCAGCAAATCTGTGGGATAAAGTTTAGCAGACTGATTTTCATGTGAATCTGAAAGGGGGGGGGGGGAGAAGATCTGACTATTTACACAGATCTGAGTTTATGTTCCTACAGCTCAGAATAGATGATGTGCCATTGCTAATCCAATTAATCTAAAAGAGCATTTAATAAAAAACAACCAACCCACATCCACCAAATAGCAAAACCCAACAGCTTCAATGGGAAGCTTGGAGTCAGCTTGTCAGGTGGGAATGCTAAAATGAGGTAAAGAAAAAACACTGATAGGCCACCACCCCTTTTCAGTTCTTGAAGATACTATTATAATGGGCCAAAACAAATGCTCTCAGCCCAGCTGAGTTTCCAGTGACTAGACTGGCAGGTACAGAAACCTGTTCAGCCAGCTTACATGTTCACCAGCGTGACATACGGAAATGTTTAGTGTGACTAGAACTCTTTAATACAAATATAAACTTAATCAGATTTCTTTTCATACACTTTATAGGCTCCCCCCTGAGCTCTCCTTTATTTCTTGATCACAGTCTTCCTTAAAAGAACCCAGTATATCAAAGCTTATAAAGACAATAAAGGAGGGAGAAACAACGTGGGTGAGGTAATATCTTTTAGTGGACCAACTTCACTATTGGTGAAAGTGACAAGCTTGAAGAAGAGCTCTGTTTATCTTGAAAGCTTGAGTCTTTCATAAATAGAAGTTGGTCCACTAAAAGTTATTACCTCACACTCCTAGTCTTTCTAATATCCTGGGACCAACATGGCTACAATAATATTGCAAACAAAGAAGGAGGCATGCAGACAGCAATATTACTTCAGTCATCAGCAGATCCCATCATTATACAGTAACTCAGTTAAACAGTTCAGTAACAAATACTTCCTCCTCCTTCCCACAAACACAAGAATGACAGCATGTGATTCATTCAATCCATTCTTCTTACATGTTACTTGAGATAAGCAGTTTAGTATTGAAAGTGAATAATTGTATAACATTTTACACAAATTCAGGCAAGAAAACATTGTATGTTTTCTTATCCTTTTAGGTATACAGTATCTCCCTGTGTACCAGAATCACAACATTCTATTAACGTATTTACCCTGAGATGAGTTATTTTTTAATACGTAAATAAAATATCTTCATTTCCTCCCACCCCATCACTGTATTAAAAAGCATTGATGGCTTGTAGATTGTGTGCTGGTAAATTTCACTATCATTTTGCAGGCTAATTATGTATTATTGCATCTCCCTCACCCCCCCCCCCAAAAATGTTAAAAGGACAATTAAGGTTATAAACTCAATCACTCAGATTAGGAAATGCCAGAATTCAGGCTGCCCATGCAATGTTAATTCAGCCCTTTTGTGTATATGTGTTACATTTATACTCTTTAATTACATGATTACATACTAATTTTTTCCACAGGAAAAGGCACTGAATGGACAGTGTTCTAGAGATGAATCAGGGGTGTGCACCAAATGAGGCTGTTATTTGGATCAGAATTGGGAAGTTACATGGTGAATGAAGCAAGGGATTACAGGAAAACTAGGGACTGTCCCATAGTTAAAAGCAGTTGTATGATGCCCTGGAGAAATGGATTCTATCCTGCCTCTGCCACAGAGTTCCTATATTATGTTGGACAAACCATAAACCAAAATTTTCACATTTGCTTACTAACTGTGTGTTCCAATTTTCTGGGTACTCAGTGTGAGATACATGGGGTCAGATGTGCAGGTGTGCTGGAGCACTCACAATCCTGGAAAAATTGAGATAATAATACTGCTTAATCTCACAGAAATATTCTGAAGATAAATGCATTAATGTTTGTGAAGCACCCAGGTACTATGGTGAGAATACTATAGAAACGCACAGGAGGAAATTAATAATTTTGTATTCAATGTAGGCTTTGGATTGTGTGCATTAAATAAGGCCTGTGAGCAATGAGGAGAATAAAAAAATAAATATAGAATAATTCCCATTCACTTAATGGGTATGGGGTCCTGCGGAAAAAATAGTACGTAGTCTATCTCATAATGCAAACACACAAAGCGGAAGGGGGAGTGAATTAAGCTTGCACAGGTACCTTAATTCTGGCATTTCCTAACTTTTGAGTGCTTGACTTTGCAACCTTAACAATGCTCTTTTAATATAGTTTTTTGTTATTGTAATTTCCTAGGCTTTTAAAAAAAGAAAACAGAAAAATTCTATCACATGGAACTATCCTGACACTCACATAGATCATCAGCAGGATTGGAATCTTTAGATCCACCACATAGACCTCTGCCACTTGAGCTAATGTAGTTACTGACAACAGTAGTACTTTATCTTCTTTAGGGACTAGTGCTAGAAGGTGATGAGAAATGTAACTTGCAAGTAGGTTTTGCAGATACTTGCTGACAGCAGAAGAAGGGTAACACTCAGGAGTCTTTGGAATCCCTACCTATAGCATGGCAACAGTGATGTTTGTGAAACATAAGCAGAGGCCAATCCTGCCCATTGAAGTTCACAGCAAAATTCAAAGTCTCTAATCATGCAGGATCAGGTCCCTTAACAAATTAATGTTTGGGAGATTAAAGCCATTATTTAGGTGCTATTATTATTTACCTATATACAAGGGGAATTTTAGCCTAATTTCCATTTAGATTAGTAGTAATAATTATGGAAGCAAGAGAAACTGGTAATAGAACCCAAATTAAAAAAAAACAAAACAACAACAACAACAAAAACTTGAGACAGCAGCCAAGAGGAGAAAAATAACACTCTTGATCCAGCAGTTCAAACAAGTATTTATTCTTTTTTGCTTTATATTAGCCATTATTGGAAAGTGACCCATACCACCTCCATTCACTTAGTCATATCTTTGAAAAGAGTCATATCACTTTCTGTGACACTATGATGCATTAAATAATTTGGCACTGCAATGGGTTTACCACCACTAAAAATGGGCCAAGTTCTAAAGTCCTTACTCAGGCAAAACTCCCCAGAGACTTAAATGAACATTTTGCCTGAAAAAGGACTTTCAGACTGGCCCATTACTTCAGAGAAACCTAGAAGCTAGAGATGGAAGAGACCTATTAGATCACCCTCCATCTCTTTATTTATAATGATGTATGCAGTTACACGTGACAATTTGAATATATACTCGAATTTTATATACTTAACAGTTTCTGACTTTCTTACGCAAGTGACTATGCTCTCATTTCTCTGTATCTCAAGAGCAAAGCTGCATCTGCAAGCACCTCACTAGAGAGAAGCAAGAGAAGTGATATATTGCAGCTATTTTATTTTTGGAATCCCCACTGTAAATAAAACCCATTTCCAAAGATATGCCATGGATACAGAATATTTGTTAGCAAAGCCAATGCCTTATGTAATAGAAGTAGTACTGTTTAGGACTGCTTTTAACATACAACACACAAACACCATACTAGTTTACAATGCTACAAAAAGGTAACAAGAAGTAAGTGAGAATTTCATTACCAAAAAGCGATTGATAAACCAAAAAAGGAAGTCTTAATTCATTACCTAATTTTATTTAATTCAGACTAGGTAATCTTAGCTGATACTCACTGTGTACAGAAATGTCCAGGCTTGTCTAAACAACAAAAAGCAGATACATGATGAGGTGCTGAAGACAGCTCTCTGCCAGACCCAAATCAGCAGGCCAGTTGGAGGACCCTTTACTTATCTTCCATTTAATATAAGTTCTTCCTTATTATTGACACGTGGCAGAGAAAACAAATTCCAGAATTCAGTCTCAACTTGCTTGCTGAAGACAGAGTAACTGTTACCTTTTGGAAAAAACGTTAACAGAGATGATCACTAAAACACGCACACTCACTTAGAGCAGCTGTAAATTTCCACTCTCCTTTTCCTGGATTCAGATTCCAAACCTCATTTGTCTCTCTAATCTGCCAGGGGCAGTTCTGTTTCTGGTCAGACTAGCTCTGTGTATGTATGTCTTCCCTCCCTTCCCAGCTTTCTCTCTCACATACGCCACACACACCCTCCCTCTGTAAACTGAGTTCCACGTCAGAGGAATGTGTGTAAAGCGAAAGACAAAGTAATGTCTCTGCCAACAGAATTTTCTAGGGTTAAAGTCACAAATGCAACAAATCTACATCAGTCACATAAGTTTTCCCTTATCGGTCTTTTAGTACAAAAGCCCACCACAGATGCCTCTTTCACACCCACAGTGTGGTAGAGGTTGCTACAATTACATTATTCACCTTACCCTTCTGTTTAGAATGTAAATAAGGGCTTCTAAACAGTTAATGGTTTATGGTTACAAGACACTAAAGTCAACATGCTACCACAAGAGCTCTTTGGGCACAGGGGGATCTACCCATAGGCTGCTGGTTCCTGTTTGAA